GACCAAAAAGGTGGCTAGCAAACAAAAAAAATGTGAAAGAAAGCACCCTCCAGGGTACACAGGCCACAGAAACTAAAAGCAAAGGGCCCAAAGCACAGCACTTGCCATCAGCCTCCATTAGCAGCAAAGCAGGGTTTGGGAAAACAAGGGCCTCTTCAGAGCTGCTGCAGGGCAAGGATGAAATCGCAGAATTAAAAACAAAATCCCCCCACACACATGGATATTCAGAGGCAATCACGCTTCAGCTTACAGTCAGCCCACACGCATCTCACTGCAGCAGCTCTTAGAGCAATCCTGTTCACAACTGGAAATGGATTACATCATCACAGCTCCACCATCCACATCATGCAGAGCAAACTGCCAAACACCGAATCACAAAATGGTTCTTGTAAGGTACCCAGCTTCAGCGTAAGGATCTGACCTATTTTATTACTGAATTATTGCTCTCACACAAGTTTCCATCACAGCTATCCATCAGTGCTGACATTTTTACACCAGTGAGGCATTCTCAGATACGTATACTCTTCTTCCCCATCTTAAAGACGCATTGAGCAGATTTGCCCCTCCGGGTACCTCCTGATGGCTGCATTCCCCACCCAGGAAGACCCAACAGAGGCCCACAAGCAAGGCTGGCCAGTGGAGCAATGTGCCAGCCCCACGGCCCCGGCACATTCTCACCCTCTGGGGGGTGTCCCGGCACTCGCTGTGCCCACAATGAAGCCTGCAAGTGCCTCTTTCCCAGCTTTCACTCCAAAGGCAACCATCCCATCACGTCTCTGCTGGCCAAGAAGAAGCTGCTGGCCCAGGTGAGTGAGGCAGAGTCCTGCCACTGCCACTAACACCACTGCCTGGAGGGCAATGGGGCAGCGAGCAGAACTCACCCCAACCCAGAGCCCAGCCGGCTGGCAGCCAACCCCAACTTCAAGGAGCACAGGAGCATGGAGACACAAGGATTGAAAGATGCATCCAGGGGAGGCTGGAGTGAGGCAGGACCCATCGCAGTGCTCCCCTGGCAGGACAGACAGCCTTACCCAAGAGCTGAGGATGGGGGCCCTGCACCTGCTGTCTTCACCGGCTTCTTTCACGCATACTGCAATCAGCTGCTGAAACACATCAGCTGCCACCCCTTTGGGGGATACTTCTCCAACTTGAAGGATTTCCTGGAACCACAACCCGAGGACATGGAGGACGACTGGGAGCAGCCCAAAACCTGTGAACCAAAGCGTGGAGCAGAGAGAGCCCGCAGCCAGCCACCTCTGCTGCTGTCAAAGCCTGCTGGGTGCCCCCTGGGGCCGGCTTCAGCCCACTGACACACAGCCCCACACCACCCCCAGCCAAGTGGAACAGAACGAGGCAGCCTTGGGCCTGCAGGCTGTTTCCCCCTTGGTCCGTGAAACTGAAGGCAGGGGCAAGGGCACTGGCTCACCCAGGGGATACCAAGAATTGGCCCAACCCAAAGCCATCACTCCCACACCCAGCTATGCCATTCCACTCACCCCAGTGCCTCAGCCCAAAACATTTATAAGGGAGAGATGCTGCATTTCCTGATCAACTTCAGCAACCCTCTGGAGCACCTGAAAAATCAGGCAGCCCCACCAAAGCCACCTCTCTCCATTATCTCCATTATTCCTGCTTTCCCCAGCCCTGCGATAACCAGCTTGCACAACCCTCCAACCCCACACACCACCAACATCCCACAAGGGCTCACTGCAGCACCAGCTCTACCCCACAGCAACGTGGCACAGCCAGCACACCTACAGCACTCCACACACCTCTGCTTCCCACTGCAACGCCAAGCTGCTGTCTTGCTCTGGATCAGCCCTGGCCCCTCGGAGAGGCGGGCAGCGGGATGCCACAGCACTGGAATGCTGTCAGAGCTGCTGTGCCCCATGGCCAAAATGAGCTGGACCGTGTCAATTTTTTAAAAAGATAAGGGAACAGAATGAGCTGCAGAGGTTTTCTTGCTAGAGATGCTGTGCCCCTGGGCAATTTTGTAGAGCCAGTGCAGACACACAGTGGATGTTCCCACCTGGCCATGCTGTGCCCAGGATGTCCTGCAGCTCCCTGCCACAAAGCCCCTGCTCCCTCCTACAAACCATGCCATTTTAGTTCTCAAGTATGCTGCCTTATAGCAGGGGCTACTGAGGTTATAAAGGGCTCAGGGCAGCAGCAAGCATCCATGGGAAGCACACTGGCTGCTCCGAAAGGGGTGCTGGAGAGCAGCATCCAAAACATCCTCCAGTGTGCACCGCAGAAAGGCATTACACGTGTGGCAGTGTCCAGGCACGTTTTGCCCCAAGAGCCCTGACACCAAAATGCACAAAAGTGACTCCAGCACACGAGCAAGGACGTGGTCACAGGGCTCAAGCCGTTCCTCAGAGACTGTGAGCAAGGGCAGGAGAGCAAAATGAGAGACGCCATGATCCTCAGGGTATCTCAGCCTCGCAGAGAAATTGTGACTACAAGCCTTGGAGATACAGCTGGGCTGCTTAAGAACACTGAGCATCCACAGCTCACCCACACCTCGATGAGTCGTGTCCACAGCTGATGTCCACAGCTCCCTCAGATGCTAGAGTCAAGCTCAGGCTCACCCAGGCTGTGTCTATCCCTGAACTGCTCCCTTTTGCAGTGAAAGCTGGCAGAGCTGGGCCCATGGCCACCTCGTGAGCTGGTCGCAGGGTCCCTCAGTCAAGCACAGGGCAGGAAGGAAGCTGAGACCCTTATAGGACCTCTATAGCTGAGACTCTTACAGGTCATTTCCAACCTTGTGATTCCATAATTCAGTCGGTTCCTTGCTGCTCGCTCCCATCAGAAAGGTCCACGCACTCCTTGGGAAGCACAATGTCACCTGGGGAAAAGAGAAAGCAGGAACAGGCCATGCAGGTGGCTATCACCCAGCAGAAGGCCAGATCCTTCCACCCGATATCTACTCCTCTTTCCAGTCCTGATGTGGCCCAGAGGATGCACAAGTATCGGTGCTTAGCAGCAGGACTCAGGGAAGGATCTGCAGAATCGGAGCTGATTCAGCTCTCCAGCCTGGCAAAGGAGCAGAGCCGTAGGGCTGCCATGAGCTGCATGAGCCAGCAGGATGAGGAAGTGAGCAGAGTTTTTGGAAACGGGCCTGCTGTCAGGGTGGGAGTCTGGGCCTGCCCCAGCACCATGCATTGTGGTGGCAAAGGCGTTGGAGTCAGTGGAGAGCTGGTGGAGGAGAAGCTTGGATGCCTGGCAGTTTGAAGGGACATGAGGTAGCTGCACCTATCACAGCCACGGGCAGCGCAGACAGATGGCCATCAGACATGACGTACAGGGTCTTCATGGCTGTAGCTTCAGGGGATGGCCGTGGTCACTGTGGAGAAGGGAAGAGTGTGGTCAGCAATTGTGGAGACAGGGCACCTACCCTGGGCAGCAGCCCCTGCTTCTGTAGGGGTTCCAGGCTGCACAAAACACCCTTTGTCTCATTTGCTCTTCAGAGTGACTCAAAATCGAACCCCAGCACTGTCAAAGCCTGTGCAGAGCACAGCAAAGGAACCCAAAACCTGTCAGCTCCCTTCCCAGACCCCTCACATCACTCAAAGACCTCTCTCTCCCTTCAGCAATCCCACCCTCTCCCCAGGGGGCTGGGACCAAAGGGCTCTTCCTTGGTCAAGAACTCTCCATCCAACTCCCAGAGCTCTCCCACAGCTCCGGCATCTTCAGCTTTGTCATACCAACAGTGAAGTGCACGCACCCACCTGCCACAGCTTTGCAAGAACGCACAAATCCCTGCTGAATTACCTGATGGGCCAAGTATGTCAGACCAACAGAAAGAAAAGAAGAACAAATAACTGAGAGATGGAGAAAAAGACCCTTAATAAACCAAGGACCTTGGGGCTCTCTCATCTTATTCACTGGGACGGGCAGACCCTTGGGAAGGAAGGGCACTGGGCTGCAAAAAGCCCATCCATACAGTCACTGATCCTGGGGATGGGAAACAACGGGGATGGGAAGGATGTCTGGGTACGAAAAGGCAAAGCACGGCAAGCCGGGGGGAAAGGGGCTGAGCCCAACGGTCACAGAGCCCCCGTGGGGGGAGGGGCTCCCCCAACTGCCACTCTCCAGCTGTCATGGCAGGTAAGGCAGCAGCTCCCCCTGCTCTGACGCTCCAGCTGACCCCAGCGCCCCACATCTCACCCCTGTGAGCCCACATCTCAGCCCAGAGCTGCAGAAAACACCCCTGTGACCCAGATCACACCCCAGCACCCAGATCCCACTCCTGTGACCTGGATCCCATCCCAATGCCCCGGGTCTCAGCCCAGCGCCCCGTCTGGCATTTCCCCACAGAGAGATTCCCTCGAGCGCTGACGGTGCCTCTGACACCCGACGCCACTTTCTTTGACGCGACTGTGCCGCCACCGGACCCCGCCTGGATGCAGCCCACCGTCCGCGGACCGATGCCGGTACCCCCCCCAACCCTTCCCTGTCCCCACTGCCACCCACCTGGCACCTCAGGCCTCTGTCTGGCCCGGGCTACCAGGTGCCTGGGGACAGGCAGCGCAGCTCCCACCCGGGGGGCCGACCCCAGTCCTGGCTCAGCTGCCACCTGTGGGCCTGACCTCAACTGCAGGGCTGCACTCACCGGTGCTGCTGCTCCTACCCGGGGGGCTGCACCCAGCTACGGCTCCCCCCCCCGCCCCTGCTCCCTGCTCAGGACGTCCCCTGTCTGCAGGGACGCTGCCAGCCCAGCGGCCGATGGGGCTGTGGCCTGGGGCCGTGCCCCTCCACACGGAGCCCCCGCAGCCCACAGGCACCTACCTGCCACAGGCCCCCGGGCGCCCCGGCCCCTCCCCAGCTCTTTTGCAGGTACCCTCCCTGCAGGAGCAGGTGCTCCCCGGGCCCTGCACCCTGCCCGCCACCTGGGAGCCACCGATGGAGACCTTCCAAGATGCCGTGCTGCTCTCGGACGACCAGGGGCACCCAGCGCCCACCGACGTGTGCCCCCACCCTGCCACGGCTCCGCTCACCTGCAGCACTGCCTCGCTGCAATCAGGCCGTGAGTTCAGGGGCTGCAGGGCAGGCGGCAGGCTGGCTACTCCACGGGGCTGTGGGAAAGCTGGCACCGCCCCACTGGGGATGCTCTTGCTTTTCCAGCAGCCACAACGAGCGCAGACACCCCGGAGGAAATCGCCGAGGACATCGCTGAGCTCCTGACGTGGATCAACCAGGGTGAGTCTGGGGGCAGCAGAGCTGGCGGGGGGGTGCTCGCACCCAGTGGGCGCGGGAAAGCCGGCAGTGCCCCACGGGGGATTTTCTTGCTTCTTCAGAAGTGACAGCCAACCCAGGCATCCTGCACGACACCGCAGACATGGACGATCTGCTCACGTGGATCAACAGCGGTGAGTTTGGGAGCAGCACAGCTGCTGGGGGCTGTCTGCTCTGAGTGGCTGGGGGAAAGCTGGCATTGCCCCACTGGGCATTTCTTCCATTGCCCAGAAGACAGACCCAGCACCAACAGTCTTGCCGGCCATGTGGAAATCGACCGTTTGCTCACCTGGCTTGATGGTGAGTTTGTGGTCTGCACAGATGACCGGTGGGTGTCTGCACCAAGCGGGGGTGGGAAGGCTGCCATCATCGTTCCGGGGGATGTTCTGCTATTCCAGAAGCTGTGAGTGCTCTGGACAGCTGCAAAAGGGAAGAGCTGACGCAGCGCACCACTGCCACAGAACCACCGAGCGCACGTGCCTCCAGCAGCCTCAACTCCTCTTCCATCACAGAGCTGCCTCACTCCCCCAGGGCCAGCCGGGAGCTCAGCAGCGACACAGATGCTGAACCTGGGCTCCTCAACAACCCACTTGGGCACCAGGCAGCATCCCCTCAGCTGCCCGTGCCAAGCGCCCTGGCTGCTCCCACACCGCCATCGCCAAACCATGCACACCTGATGGAAGAGGTGCTGCGAAGGCAGCCCCGGGTGATTCTCACCCGCCTGGCACTGCCCAGCCCACTGCCTTCCCCCACACCTCCATCGCCCAGCACTGCACACCCGATGGGAGAGGTGCAGCAGAGGCAGCCCCGGGTGGTTCTCCCCCGACTGGCACTGCCACGCGGCTGCATCTCCTGCCGGCTGGCAGACCAGCACCACGGGGACAGCACCGAGCCAGCCAAGCGCCCCGTGCCTCCTCTGCTGCGCACTGGGCGGCTCGTGGAAGAGGCGCCGCACAAACAGCCCCACGTGCTGCTCAGGCACCTCGCACTGCCAGCCGGATGCATCTCCTGCCGGCTGGCAGACCAGCACCACGGGGACAGCACCGCGCCGCCCACCAGCCCAACGCCCGCCTGCTCCACCACCAGAGGCCAGAGCACCGCGCACAGGCAGCACGCTGGCAGCATCCCAGCCACAGACAGGAAGCTGCCACGCTGCCACCGTGCGCCACGCCACAAACGCCGGCGCTAGGCCAAGCTGCCGCTGTCAGCACGGCAGCCAGCACGAGGACTCGGGACGCTTTCTGGGCACAGTGCAAACCAGCAACAACCCTGCCAGCAGCAGCAGCAACACCAACAAACCAAGGAAAAGAATGAACCGCCAGGGCAAAGCACAGATGCCCACCCAGTCTGGAGCAGGCCAGAATCTTAGCATCCGTGCCTGGGAGGAGGAAAGGGTAGCTACTGGGTGTGCTGCTTCCTCCAGCACAGATGCAATTGCAGGGTCGCCAGCCCAGAAGGAGCCTGAGGCTGCCAGTCAGAGCAAAGCATCTCTCTGGAGGAAGCCAAAGCACTTGCAGTCATGCCAAGGAGGAGGGAAGGGTAGCTACCGGGCACGGATCTCGCCTGCCAGCAGAGGGGGAAGGAATTTTGTGGGGTGGCAATTCTGGGTCAGAAATTGAACTCTGATAATATTGTACTCCAAAATTGCTGCAATTGGGAGGAAGGAATTGCTGGTGTGGGATTTTAGGGAGGCTGGGAAGTTTTTTGGAGGGGGAAGAAAATATTGGTGGGAGGGAGCAGGGGGGGCTGTTAGGGGCCCCTGTTGTTAGGGGTGGGAAATGGTCGGGAATATTGTCATTTATGCACTGTTTTGTACATTCCACTATTAAATGTTCTGCGTTCCCTTTGCTACACCTCTGCCTGCAGTCGTTCATGCAGCACCAAAGCCCCCCCAGGTCCCCGTGCCCATCTCTGGGGATGCTGGGGTGGCTGCAGGCAGCCAAGAGCTGCCGCTCCTCCAGCTCCTCCAGGCTGAACATCTCCATCGGGGGCACCGACTTTGCACAAGGAGAGTCGAGGCAACGCCGAGAGGCAACGGGAGCTGACTGGGGAACTGCAAAGAGCACCAGGGGGCGTGGAGAGCTTTGCTCAGCACTTGTGGGGTTGGGGGGCTCAAACGGTACCCAGGTGGCACATTTTCACCTCACTGACTTCCTGTTCTCCAACATCTCACCCAAGGCATTCAACAGGCCCTTTTTTCCAATGGGGGCAGACTTTCTCCTTGCGGCTGACCTTCCCCCCCCACCTCCCCAGGCTGCCCATCTCCCCCCTGGGCGCTGTGTTCCCCGCATTCCCACCCTGAAGCTGTCGCTCAGTGACACCTTTGTCACCCACACACTCTCCGTGGGTCCTGAGGAGGGCTGGGTGGTGTCCCGTGAAAGCAACCCCAGGGACAGCTCTGCTCCCAAGCCCTGGAAGTCACAGCTCCTGGAAAAACACCTTCAATGCTGCTTCATCTCATCACCTTGCCACTCCACCGGGGCGCTGGGTGGAAGCCAGCTGCTTCCCCTGCTGTCTCCACACTGGGCTCGCCTCTCTCCCTGCTCCTCACCCAACATCCAGGACTGCTTTTTACCATGCCCTTGCTCAAGAGCACACAAGCTACGCAAGCACACCGCTCTCCCTAGGAAAAACATGGCTCCTAGGCACCTGCACTGCAAACCGATAAACAGGCGTTCAAGTCTCACAGGAATCACAAAAACTTAAAACATACCCCAGGCCCCTGTTTAGCAGTAATGCTTTGCTGAATTTGGGCCCACACTATGATTCCAACTCGTCACCTTCCTGCCTTCCAACTGCCTGCACTGTGCTCTGAAGCCACGATCCAATGCCTTAATGCCCTTATGTAACAGCATCCACTTCATCAAACACAGAGGAAGGAACGTCTCAGGAATGTACATCACACACCAGCCAGGCTGCTAAGGACCGGCAACTCTTCTGGGACAGCTTCATCAAACCTTTCTGGATCAGCCTTGCTATCACACACAACTCGTCCCATTCCTGCTTTGAGGGCTCAGAGCCTGAACTCCACTAAAAGGCCACCTGTCATCACAAAATCAGGCACACCTGATACAACCACACCACTAAGGCTGCTCTGCTCAACTCCACTGGTTCCCAGTGCTCGCTTAAAAAATAAAATCCACCCAGAGCATCAAACACCAACACGGTTCAGTGGCACAGCCCAGCACAGAGCTGCGATCCCAAAGCCATTATAAGGTTTTATAACAGTGCTGTGGGGGACATTCAACTGCTTCAAGCTCAAACATGATGCAAGTGGTTGATTAATCCGTACATCTCAGTGACCTCCAAACCTGATGTCTTGGAAAAAATGAACAGAACAGACCATCTCAAAGAGCAGATATTCAATCTACACAACTTAATCCAGCAGGCAGTCCTGTGGACAAATTCTGTGCTGGCAGCAGAGCCTTTTTACGACCATTGGGAACATTCCCAGTAACAGAGCTACCACAACTTGGGCACTAAATACACAGACCCACCTGGGACAACAGCAAGTAAAGAAGCAACTTACCCTCCTCCCCTTATCCAACTTCACTCTCACATTTACAAGTGAAACTGCAACGTTAACTGCCATGAAAACATGAGGGGATAAAAAGTCATCTGGTATTTTCCAGGTAAGCCACCAAGATCACAGAAACCCAAGTTGTAAGCGTCCACAAGGATCACCAAGTCCAACCTGATGCTCCAGGAAGGACAACCCAAACGCAGATGGTCTTTCAGCTGCAGCAGCTCAGGACCAGGCCCACAGCCCTGGGGAGCCTGGCCACAACCACTGGTACCAGATGCAGCAAGCAAAGAGCAGGCAGGTAGGCACAGCAAGCAGCAAAGACCAACCTGAGAGGGGGCCTGCTTACAGAAATCAACCCGGGGCCTGCCTACACAAAGCACACACCTTTCACTCCAGTAAAGCTCCACCATTTGGACAGCCAAAGCACAAACTGCCATTTCACTTCTCATGGCTCTTCCCTGAACTCCCAAACAAACAGTTACTTCACGTCCCCTATCGCACTGCAACTGCTCATAATCAATCATCAAGATCATATCTTTCACCAACCACATAAGCAGCTCACTTCTGCTTGGTGGCACTCACACTCCATTCCCACTGCGTCCCTTCATGGGAGGAAAATCACAGCCGGCTTTCTGACAGCCTCCTGCGTGATTCCCCCAAAAGCACCCAGCACTTCTTCGGAAGAGGGAAAGAAAGGAAGGTTCATGGAAACAGGCACACAAGGATTGCAAGAGATGCACTGCTCCAGATCACAGACAGGACCACCAAAGCGCCAAAACACAGTTTATCACTAAAGGAAACATTTCAGAGCGTAGTCACAATTTCCGCACAAGCTGTCATGATTCAGCATGTGCAGTTTTCTGATCGTTCAGTAGCAGAAGGCAGATGCTCGCACACATCAATCAGCAAGCACTTGGATGAGCCAGCCCTCCGGTTTTCACAAGGACACACATGGTTACTGCCGGCTCTGACAGCTTACCAGGAGAGGCTGCAGTTCATCAACGTGGACCTCATTCCTCCTATCAGCAGCTACTCCTGAACTGACCTTCATTCATACAGTGACACCACCAACTTCCAGCACCAGCTCACCTGCAAAACACAGAAAAGAAAGTGGGACAACAGCCAAAACAGACAAAATATGTTTTAACATTCACTAACAAAAAAAGCAACGACAATACAGATGGGCAGCTGCAGCAACACTGCAGTATGTAAAGAAACAGAAACCTGGCTTGGAGGCGACAGGCCTCCCCCCCTCTTGGCCCAGAGCCGACAGCTCCACCCCCTTCGCACCCCTCCCCCCCCCCCTTGGGCCCAGAATGGCCCAGAGCCGACAGCCCATCCCCCCCTTAGGCCCAGAGCAGACAGCAACCCCCCCCCCCCACCCCCTCCTTTGGAACGGAGCCGACAGCACACCCCTCCCCCCCATCTTGGCCCAGAGCAGCCCAGAGCCGACGGCTCCCCCCCTCCACCTCACCCCCCCCCCCCCCCCCCCCCCCCAACCCGTTTGGCCCAGAATGGCCCAGAGCTGACAGTTTCCCCTACCTCCCACTCGCCCCCCCCCCCCCCGGACCTCCTCCCCCCCCCTTCGGCCCAGAGCCAACAGCTCCACCCACTCCACCCTTCATCGACCCCCCCCCCCCCCCCCCCCAAACACAGCCCACAGCACCCACGGCACCACCCCGCCCCCCCCCCACTTGGGCCCACAGCCGACGGCCCACCCCCCCCCGCCCGTGTGTGACAGAAGGCACAACACAAAAAGCAAATTAGAAAGAAAGCCATCACACACGTAGCAGCAGAAGCACCAGAGCAACAGCAATACATTACAGAGGCACAAAAAGCACTGCTCACCATCTCCAAGGATTCACCCACACAACAAACTCCACAGCACAGAACCTTCCAGAAACAAACCCTTCCCCCTGGCCACTCAGCCCCTAAAGGAGCTCCAGGAGGGGCAGCCAGGCTCCGCCCCTTCCAGCCACGGAGCTCCATTGCCTTCAGCTGTGCTCCCAGGGCTCACCGGCTCCTTTCCTCAGCTGCTCCCTCGGTGCTTCAGGCTGGGATTCAACACTTCTTCGACAGCAGAGCAAAGGGAAAAATCGCAAAGCAAAGCTAGAGACAAAATCCAAACAACAAAGAAAGCTTGCAGGATGCTAGGAAATAACAGAAAAGCACAGGCAGAAGGCAGAAGGCAGGGTTATGTCTGCGTGTCTGTCTGCAGGAAACAGCTGCAGCTGTTCAGTGCTGCTCCATGCACCCATCGCAGACAGCTGCACACAACAGGGCTCCAGCAGCACTCACAGCTCCTGTCAGCTGCACTATTAAAGCCATCTGACAAACTTCCAATTCCGTGTTGCAAGTGCTTTAAAGAGAGAAGCACTGAAGCTGGCAAACGCACGATGGCTCCAGATAACAAACACCAAGTCCAATGGCACTTCAGGCAATCAGCATCCTTACATTACGCCACCTCTTTTAGTTTACCCAGAGAGGCTTCTAGCTCCTTTACAGCTTCTTCTCATTCTGGGGGTTGGAAAAACCAAGGGAAAAATGTTGAAATGGTGCCCAAACCCGTTCAATTTTCACTTCATCCCGACTTTGCCCTGCAGGTGGGGTTTTGTTTTCCTTTTTGGTGTTGCACAACAGGTGACTGAAGTGACTGATGCAGCTTTGAAGTTGAATCGTTCCATCAAACATGCTGGTTTTCTTGGAAATCTCTCCCTGAAATCCATTAATTTGTACCTACACTGTAGGAGGGATTTTACGAGCCCAAGCCGACTCGAGGTTTGGATTCAGCTGTCACTCCTTTCTCCCCCTGAGGAGCACAAGATCTGCGCCTCGCTGCCAGTGTCAGAACAGACCTGGGGCACAGGGAAAGGAGCCAGAGAGTGTTTCCTCTGCTGCACGTTGTTTGAATCATGCTGTTTTTCATGGGAGATGTGCCAGAATGTCTCTGATGGACTATTTGCTGTGCCTTTCTACCACCAGAAATGCTACTCATGTGATAGTAGTTCAGAAAGACTGTGCTGTGGATTTGTCTCCTGGACTCACGTGAGAAGGATGGCTGTGGAGATGTTGGTCTTGGGGCAGGAGCTGTTAGAAGCTTTTGAGAGTGGCCTCTGTGTGTTAGGAGTGATTGTGGTACCACTGCTCGGTCAGTTGGAGTGCATGAAACAAGTCTGAAGTCTTCTTGTAATGGAGCAATGGGAAAGGAGTCTATGCATTGGAGAGCTGACTTTCAGTCTGCGGGCATTTTCGGGGAGCTGGGGCGAGGGGTGAGGCAAGGAAAGCTGTGGTAGGAGGATGAGGTGTGGGAATAGGAACGTCTTCCATTGAGAGCAACTCCTGCTGTTTGCTTTTTGACTTGGAATGCATGCTTTTTTTAATCGAGAACAAACTCTTTGTGCAGCTTGTGAATGAATTCATTCACTCCTGTTACTGTTTGGCGTTCTTCTCCACACGGAGCTGCAATTGAAATGGACGCCTCTGGTCTGGTTGCCAGCCCCCTCCCGCATGCTCAGATCAGCCAAGTTTGCAAGGCCCGGCTCTTGGTGAGTTGTGCCCAAGGTCAGACGGTTGGCTCTTCTCAGCCTTGAGCTGTGTTTTCCAGTTGCGTGTTGTGCTATTCCTGTTGTGTTGAGCTCTTGAGCTGCAGCCCTAACTGGGGATCCAAGTAGACTGACACAGAAGGAATGGTTGAGATCTATGTGAGCTTGGATTGGAAATGCGGTGCCAAGGGCTGCACAAACGTGAGGCAGCCCTGAGTATAAGGAAAGGCATCTGCTGGGTGAGGGCTTTGCAGGGTGAGCATCACCCTGCTGAAGAGCAGGCAGCTGTTGTCTTTGCAGACAGCCACATCCATGGGGATTGGAAGCTTCCTCTGCCTTCCAGCTCTTGGCTGCTGCTCTGAGAGTGCAGGTTCTTGCCCGGAGAGAAGCAGCAGCAGAAAGGATCCCATGCGTGGCCTCTGAGCCCTTTCAGACCAACCAGCTGGATTAGCGTGGCTGGGACCTTGGTTTGGAGTTCACCCAGCAGGCTTTGCCCAAAGCAGAATGAGCTGTGGGCACAGCGTCCAGCAGTGGAAGTGACCGACAGCTGGAGACAGCAGCAGCCTGAGCGGCGCTCTTGGGGGAAATCCTCACTGAGCAAAGGCCCAGAAGAAGAGAGCAGCTTGTCCCTGTGTTCACATAGTCAGGTTTTCCTTTCTGACCTGACTGTTAGCTCAGGCGCTGCCTACAGCTGTGTGATGTGCTCTGCAGGAAGTGCCGATGGTTCGCATTCAACCTTGTCTTTCACCTTGTTCTAAAGCTTAGAGGCACCCTTAATTTCTGCAGCCCTGAGCTTTGTGCCATGAGAGCTCTCCAGCTTCTACCCGTGATGTGAGACTGTATTGTGTCTACTCTGTCAGGCTCTTCTTCTCTTTTCTCTTTTAAGGTCCCTCTTTTAGTACCTCTTTTAAGGTAGGAAAATTCCTGTCTGGGCCAGGAGAAAAAGAAATGCAGCAATCTTCCCTGCACTGTTCACTTTGTCTGAGTTGCCAAGTGCTCCTCGTTTTTCTTGTACCCTGCAATTCCAAGTCCATATTTTCCCCAAAGCAAAAGAATTCAGAGGGAACCACCTACAGTTCAGTAAGAGATTTCAGTATTTATTTCTGACTGTGGCAATTCCTTCCGTTCAGAAGTCACACTTAATTGACGGTGCCTGCTTTAATTCTGACCAAGCTTGCAGTGGCAGCTGGCTTCCCAAGGCTGCAGTACGTGGTGGTGGCACAGCCTCGGGCGTCTGCATTTGTGCCAATGCCACATTTCCTTTCTCTGTCTCGCAGGTCAGCTGGCGCTAGAAGTGGACGGCATCCAGTGTGAATGAAGGGCAGTGCAGGAGCAGCTGCTGCTGGGAGGAAGGAAGTGCAGGCTGATGGACGCTGACGCATCTCCCAGCACGGCACCAGAGGAGGCAGCAGTGATGCTGGGGGGCAGCTGCAGAAGAACACGAGGAGCTCCTCAGCAGGAAGCCACAAACCTGCAGAAAGCTGCAGCGGACTCAGAGCACGCGGGGATGCCCAGGAGGAAATGCAGGCCCAGCGTTTGAGCAGCGCCTGGCCACGGAGTGCTGCGGCCCAAGAACCAAGCTGTTGTGCCTTTGCCCAGATGGCTTTCCAAGGTGGACTCGTCTGTCCTCACAAAAACCAGAGGGCTGACTCATTCAAATGCTTGCTGATTGCTTGGAAGCCCAAATCCTTCTGGCCTCCAATCTGGGGGAGCCTGGGGGCAACATCTCCTGGGTCTGATCATGCAGTGCGTGAGCGAGAGGATGACCCAGGCTGGTTACACAAAAGTCATCTTAATTTCTCTGTTTTGTTCCTTCAGATAACCCCATTGGGCGGCCCTCATGTTTTCTTACAATTGGGTACCAGCCCTGGTGGCTTTGGGCCAGAGCCCAAAAGGCTGCATGCAGCCCAGGGGCTCACAGCCACAGCCTCAGTCAGAGAGGCTGGCACACGCCCTGGGCCTAAAGATGCTGCCAGAGAAGCCGGGAGTGGCCCTGGGGCCTAAACACACAGCCAGAGAGACTGGCACCGGCCAAGGGACCTGAAGGCACAGCCTGAGCGGCCAGCACCGACCCTGGGTTGAGGCACAGCCAGAGAGGCTGCACTGGCCCTGGGCCTAAACCTGGAGCCACAGCACGAGAAGCCGGCACCAGCTTCAGGCCTGAAGCCACAGCCTGAGAGCCGGCCCTGAAGTCTGAATCTCCAGCCAGAGAGCCAGCACCAGCCCTGGGCCATAATGCCGCGGTTACAGCCACAGGGGCAGCGCCAGAGCCAGGGCTGAAAGCCACACCTACAGCCGGGTGGGCTGGCACCAGCCGTGGAGCCTAAAGCCAGTCCTGAAAGGCCGGCACCAGGCCTAGGCCTGACGCACAGCCCGAGAGGCCGGCACCGGCCCTGGGCACAGCTGTGCCTTCCTGTTGCTTTCTGCTGATTCCTACAGGGCTCCACTGACCGCTCTGAGGCCGTGCTGCTCCTTACTGGTTTTCACTTGGCCATGCTGCACTTTGCTGCTCCGTACTGCTCTGCACTCCTCCCAGCTCCTACTTGTTCCTCTGGGACCCCGCTGACCACTACGAGGCCATACTGCGTTTTTACTGGGCTGCCCAAGGTCATCTTCACTTCTCTGTTGCTTTACTTCAATTAACCCCCATTCAATGAACCCCATTCACCCCATTGGTCAGTCTCATGTTTCCTACAATTTGGATCTGGGAGGTGATCACTCCTTTGCCTATGATGCAAGCACAGCGGTGATGCAGGCACTTGCTGAGGTCACAGTGGTTGCCATGATGGGGGCGTTTGTGCCCCAGCTGGAGCAGAGCTGGTGCTCTAGTGAGCGTGGTGCACACGGAGACTGAGCTCTGTGCTTTTCGAGAGAGAGATCCTCCTTTAGAGCCCACTGGGAGCAGCGCTGCGGCGTGTGCGTCAGCTGGGCACCGCTCCGGCTGAGCAGGCTGACCAGGTGAGCTGGGGTTGGCGCTGGCTGGGTGCTGGGAGGTATCAGCAGAAAAGCTGGGCTGGGGAGGAGTTCCCAGGTCAAACGGTGCCCTTCTGAATGGCTGTACCCAGGGGATGCCCAGCAGGTGTTTCAGCAAACTGCGCTGAAGTCTCGGCAGAGAGCCAGGTGGGGGCATGGACGGTCAGCACACGTGTGGGGGAAAAGCGGAGCTGGGGGCACTTGCTGACAGAAGCCGTGGCAGTCAGGCACCAGCTGCAGCTAGGGATGGGCAGGCAGTTCTTGCAGCCAGCTGATTTCCAAGCATTGCCTTCCTCAAGAGACGACATTGCATAGCAGAAGAAAGCTGGGAAAATGCTTCTTCCTCATGATTTTTCCCTTGTTGATGCTTTCTGTAGGTTCCTCTCCAAAAGGAGAACTCAGGAATCCAGGCAGCTGAAGATTGCGGCGCTGCAGGCGATGTCAAGTAAGGAGTTTGGAGTGCAGGAAGGGGCAGTGAGAAGTGAACTATCAGTTGTGTTTGGGCTGTCAAAGTAGCATCTTTCTGTTTTCTGGGGGGACATGGGCTTACTAGGCAATACTTGTGCTGCCTGCTGGTGTCTGTGAAATCAACACACCATCTGTTGTTGTAGGGACAAAACCTGTGCATCTGTGGAACGGTGCGGGGCAAGGAGGGAAACGGAAAGCCTCCGCAGGTAAGAAGCTCCTGTGAGCTGTGGTGTGGGCACTGCCTCTAAACAGGGCTGCATGAAGGGCTGCGTGTGATGGAGGGGAGAGGAAGGGACTGCAGTTCTGTGCTGACTGCAGAAGTGGCACAGGGCTGCAGCAGCAGAAAGGCAAATTGCCAAAACTGCTGCTGAAGACCAGAAGTTTGTGGTTGGCAGTGCTCAAATCTTCCTCCCAAGAGATGCTCTTCATGTCTTTCTTGTCTCCTTTGTGTCAGAAGCTGATGCCAGTGGCCTTCCTCTGAAGCGCAGCCACGTGGAAAGCCAGGAGTGTGGCACAGCACCCAAGAGAGGTACAGACACACAGCAGGCATCTGGGTTTGGTGCACTGTCTTTCTAGTTAGGCTTTCTGCCTGTTCTTTCCTGGGACTGTTCTCATTGCGTGGGGTTGCTTGGGGTTTTAATCCCTGGGATTGACAGTTACCTCTCCTGTCCTGATTTATAATGGGATCCCAGCGTTCACCCAAGATCCCTTGCTGTGAACATGGTACAGGAGAGCAGGCATTGACTCTTTGGGATTTTTTCTTGCTGTTCCCAGCAGTGGCGAGCAGCTCGGATGTGCCGGAGGACATCACGGACATCCAGGGTTTGCTCTCTTGGATCAATGGTGAGTTTGGGGCTGCAGAGCTGCAGGTGCGTGTTTGCACAGAGTGGGTGTGAGAAGGCTCTCATGGCCATTTGGGGGATGTTTTTGCATTTTCAGACGTGGCAAGAGCTGCTGAGGTCCCCCAGGAGAACCCCAGCAGCCCTGCCCCCGGATGTCTCATCGCTGAGCTCCCTGACAACCCTGGGGACAGCAGAGAGCTCAGCACACAGGCTGCTACCGGGACGTCCACCGACCCCTTCTGGGGGCTTCCTCCATCCCCCGGGCTCCTGTCTGAGCTGCAGTGCGGGCTGTCGGAGCTGCGCCCCGTCGTGCCACCAGCGAGCGCCCGGCTCAGCCCACGGCCGACCACCCTGGCCGTCAGCGCACCTCCCTCAGCGCAAAGCGCACAGCCCACCGAGGAGGTGCAGCAAAGGCAGCCCCAGGAGGCTCAGGCTCACTCGCCCCCATCGCCAGGCTCTGTCCCCAGCCAGGTGACAGAAAAGAAGAACAGGGGCAGCACCAAGCGGGGGGCCAAGCGCCCTGCGCCTGCCGGCACCCTGCAGAAAGGGGAGAGATCCCAGCAGGAGCAGCCCACCAGCAGCGCTCCTGCCAAGAAAAGGAAGCTGCCGCCCCGCGGGGAAAGAGCAGAGAGGAAAGGCCGCAAACAGCCGTGCCAAGCAAAGCTGTCTGGGGCCGGTGCAGGAGCCAGCGAGCTGCGCAAGCACCTGCAGCAATGCATCCAGGCCGTGCACCCGCTGGGGCAGAGGGCGACTGCGCTGGGCCCGGTGCGCCAGCCACCCTCTGTGCAGCCCCAGCCCTCAGCCACCGCTGGCCCTGCTGCCCTCCAGCCCCAAGACAGCCATGCGCACAAGGCAGAACCAACGGCTCCAGGCAGCACGGTGCAGGAGGAGGGTGCTGCCAAGGAGGCGACGCCGAGCTGCCCGCGCCCGTCCCCGCAGAGGAGCTCGGCGCTGCAGAGGGACCCACCGCCACCACCACCACCACCAGCGCTGCACCAGCAGCAGCCTCGGCCCCGGCGCCCCGTGGACTTTGTGCCCTGCGTGGGGCCGCAGGCGGGTGGCGGTGTGATACCGCTGGTGATGGAGGAGTCGCTGCCCATCACAGCCGAGCAGCGGCCCGAGCGGGAGCGCATGAAGAACCTGGCCCAGGAAGAGCGGCAGCGGGCGGCCCAGCAGATGAAGATCGGCCCCGTGCAGTTCCTGGTGCAGCGGGAGATAGACATGGCCATCGCCGACCAGTACGGCTACCCGTAACCCTGCGCTCCTCGCCGGCCCGCAGCACCAGGCAGCAGCGGCAGCGTTCCAGGGGCCCTGCCAGCGGCCCCATCTCTCCCCTCCACAACCAAGCCGTCCTCCGAGTCAGCACAGCAGTGGGATGGGACGTCTGGGAGCACAGCTGTGGTGGGACTGGAATTTTAGCATTACTGTTGTTTCTGTTTCTCCTTGTAATCTAGGATAGGTTATTACAAGCTTTGCATTCCATTTGCTACGTCCCTCTGCCTGCAGTCATTTGTGCCGTGTCACAGCCCCCAGCTCCCCATGCCTGCCTCCGGAGCAGGACGGGCACCACGGATGGCCCATGGTGTCCCTCAGCTGCCACCAGCAGCCCCAGCCCTCCTCTCTCCCTGCAGTCCTTTGTGCAGCTGGATGCAGAGGGTGTTTCACAGAGCTCCCTGCGCTGCCCAGTGCCGTGAATTCCTTGCGGATGGGCAGCAGGCAGGGCGGATGGAGGGGAATGGCCCTGGCTCACTATGGCCAGAAGAGACTCCAGCAGGGGCAGTTCCTGTGGAGAGATGAAGCAGGGGCAGCAGGGCCTGCTGTGCAGACAGACATAAAGATACCACCCATGCCATGGCTCTTCCGCGCCCACCTTGTTTGCAGCACCATTTAGCAATCCCCCCCCACTAATATTTATAATAGTTAGCTCAAAAAATCCAGATTGTTTTTAAATATAGTTTTTAATTAAAAGACAACCCTGCAGCCAGTGCTGTCAATCTTTCTCACTGGACTGGGAGCTCCTCCTAGCAGTGAATTCTCTCTCTGTACCATTGGTTCTGTAGCAGTTACTGTTTGCCTCCACAGCCCTCTGGGGTCCCTGCATGTGTCCCTTTCTGGAATCTTACTTCTCATTGGGAAACACCCTCACACCTTTCCTCTTTGCTTTTGTGTATGGAACACCTGTAATTTGTCCTCCTTTGCATGAACTTTATTACAACCTTTGGGCTGTAATACCCATGACAACGAAAACTCAACTTGCGTTTCAATGTGACGCTGCTGTGTTTTGTACCAATTTCCAGATCAGTGCTCCTTTGGTCTCTGAGGTAGGACATAATAACCAATCTTGAGGTAGGGTGAAGGGGAGCGGCGTGAAGCTGTGTGCGTTCCCTGCTGGGGGGCCATGCTGGCGGGGGGGGGTTGGTTTGCTTTTTCTTGGCAGGGTGGGCAGGAGCTCTGGGTTAGAGGAGCATCCCGACGGCACGCCTGGGATCAGCAGCTCTGCCACAGGAGGAGGTGAGGCTGCACACCGAGCTGCAGGAGAGGAAGGGGAGGAGGTCTCGGCCCAGCTCTGGACGGTGCTCTGCGGCACTGGGCAGCTCGATCCTGGCTCAGCAGTGGGATCACGCAAGGAGCGGGGGAGGCAGGGAGGGCACTGCCAAACACAGCTGGGGCGTCTCTGTGCAGTTTTGCCTCCCCGGGAGGAACCCAGAGCTTCCCGGTTTGTTTCTGCTCCTGTAGCATTTGTATGCAGTGGGAGCATAAGGTTCTGCTGCCTTATTCTTCTTCCGGCCTTTGGTATCTTCAGGGGGGCTGCAAGAAAGAAGGGGAAAGAGTTAGAGAGTTTAGATTGGACGTATGGAAGAAGTCTGTTACAATAAGGGTGGCACTGCAGCACAGACACTGAGGGACCCTAGGGATCTCTCGAGCCCTGAGCACTGTGTGTCAGGGCCTGGGGATAGATGGGATGGAGGGCGCCATCCCTGCCCCGTACCAGGGGGACCATTGCCACCCGCAGAGCTTCCCTCATGCTTTGGACAGCTGTGCAGAGGAGGAGGGTCTCGAGGTATCCTAGGGATGTGATCAGCTCTGACATCCTCCAGTGATCAATAAAGCCCTCAGCAGAGCCACACTCTGTGTCTGCGTCCCCATGCTCAGCAGGGGCTGTTCGTGTCTGCTCCTGCCTGGCAGAGGCCACCTCTACGTGGTGGGAGGGGTCCCCAGCTCCATACCCCACACCCCATGTGCTGCACCCATGGGCCTCTCCATCCCTTCTGTGCTGCCTGCTCCAAAAAGGACACAGCTCCCCATGCTGCCAAGTAGCCCCAGTACCCTCCCTCTGCTCTCTCCCAGTCCCTCCTTCCAGTTCCTCCCAAACCCTTCAAATCTCCTCCCTGATGACCAATGACGCCCTCTGCTGATTAGCAAAGCCCTCTGACCTCACTGAAGATCCCTGATCATCAGTGGAGCCCTCTGACAGCCAACAAAGCCTTCAGTGACCGCTGACGCTCCCTGGTGGCAAATTGAGCCCCCGATGATCAGCGGGCTGCTGTATCACATGCAGGAAAGGGAAGTGAAGGGCGAGAAAGAATATTTTGACATCATTAGGTAGACAGCATGGTTTGCTCATCACAGAATAAAGATTTGTGTGGATTCAATTAAGCACCGAATTTGGAGAGAAGTGTGACTGCACCACACCTGTGTGCGCTGCCCGCTGCCTGGGACCGGCTGCCTGATTCTAAGCCCTCCTCCAAGAGGCTCAGCTGCTCCTCAGCGATGCCGACCCGCTCCTCGTGGAGCTGCTGCTGGCCGGGCACTTGGACTCCGCTTGGCTGGGCTGCACTGCAAAGACACTGGGTCACAATCCAGGCTGGGGACTGCGATGGCTGCTGGGCTCAGGTCAGCATCTTCAGCAGAGCCAGGAGAAACGAGGGCGGGAGGGTGGATGAGCTCCTTATCCCCATCACTGTTGTGCTGTGGAAGGCAGCCATCAGACCTGCAGCGATTCGTGCTTCCTGAGAGCTCGGCACTGAAGGAAGCACTCAGTGCACCACCACTGGGCCTGGGTCAAAACCACTGAGATTCACCTAGGAATGAGCAGATACACGGGGTGAGTGTCAAGTGTGCAAGTAGGCCACGCCACTGGGCTGATAACCAGAAGCTCGGTAGCACTTACAGTCCTGTGTCTGACTGCATTCCGTATCTCCAACCACGTCCTTGCCCCAGATCGGGGGGGTGGACAGTCCATTCCTGGGTGGCCCACTGCGCAATGCAAAGAGTGAGCCCCCGGCACACAGCCCAACTATCTGTGCAGATGTTCAGGATGCCATCACCGGGTCCCTCGCTCACAACCATCCACACGGCTCGCAGTTCTGCCCGTTGCCTGCTCTGACCATCCCCCTCGTCCAACCAGATCGTCTCGCTGGAAGGATCGTACGCTATTGCTCTCCACTCGCTCGGGTTGCCCTTGCTGGACCCATCTGTGCACCAGGCATCTTCAGGGATCGGATATTTTCCCTCCTGAACGGGACTCTGCTCTGGTGGAGCGACCAGTCTTTCTTTTGCTGCATCACTCCCTGAAGCTTTGGAGACAAAAGTCAGTTGAAAGACTAGAACAACACAGAGCAGGAGGGGGAAGTGCAAGTGCTCGCCCAGAGACAGAAAAAAGGTTGATTCAAGTATTACAGTATGACAATCATGCACTGCAAATACCCCAGTCAAGTGAAAATCTGCAGTCAGTACAGGAAGCCTGAGGTTTCAGCATTCGCAACAGAAGCCAGCTAACAGAAGCACTGCGGGAGCTGCATCTGCCTGTGCCCCTTCTCTCATGAAGCCCAACACCAAACATTTGTGCTCAGCTGCTACTTTAAAACACCACAGTCACTGTTCCAACAGCCCTCCTGCTACCTCTTCCATCAGAGCTGTGCCTGCAGACCCCAGGCAAGGCCGGGGTGCTCTGCCTTATCCAGAATAACAAAAACATGCAACGGCAGGAAGAGAAGAAGTTTGCACCTGCAACGCCCTGCCCATTTCTCTCTTCTGCTATTTGGTGCACTGCCAATACATGACCAGCCCCACCACTCCAATTTTTCTTTCTGAATTAGCAATAAGGCAAGTAAGTGGGAAGCAAAGGCATCTGGCAGCGATGCCAGTCAGCTCCTGCAAAAAGCAGCTCACCTCATACTTGGGGCCAAGTGAGAAACAGCAACACCCCGACCTGTTCCTGATCACAGTGCAAATGTGAGCCCTTTTCACACTGGAACCCTTTGGGCATTCCCTCTTTAGAAACAACAGCAACAACAGCATCACTGGAAGCTCGTTGAAGTCCACAGACCAAATCACCAGAACAGAAACAATGGGAGATGGCAGAGGTCTCAAGTAGCTGCAAAAGGAGCGTTAGGGCTTCAGGGCGGTTGGTTAGTTTGGTTTGTCACAGCAGTTAAGAAAGCAGGGAAGTGAGAGAGCTTTGTATTAACGGAGTTCAAAACAGACCTCAGAGCTCTGATTCCGGCTGGGAGCTCTGTGCACCGTACCCAGCACCAGCCATCTGCCTGTGCCTTGCAGCACTTTGCTCCAGCAAGCAGGCCGTGCACTTACTGCATTGTCTCTGCTATCTCAGACAACACACAACAGCATCATTTTAACCCCAACTCCATCCTGGATGCAACCCCTGGGTGTGTGCATGGAGTCCAACTCCTCATATTGTGCAGAGCACGCAGTGCCCTGCATGATGCCACAGAGATCATCACTGGGACAAACCAACAGTAAACCAAAGCAACCGCTGCGTTTAGAGTTACCAACACTAAAGACAGAGGTGCTCACCACACTCAAATCCCAGGCTGGTTTTGGGCATGCGTTCCCATCTTTGTCTTTCCCCATCGTTGTTTAACTCTCACCTCACTACTTACAGCTGTGAGGGCAAATTTATGCCACCTACTTTTACACATCCAACAGTCAGCTAGCCAAGACCCAGCTAGCACTGTCTAGGCTCCCTGTGAAGTTAATCCAAATAAATATGCATCTCCAGAAGGAAAATAACTGCAGAGCTGTGGCTCCAGAGAGCAACTCCTACCAGGAGCTCTGCAAAACACTCGGATCCCACATCCAACCTATTGCTGCCGTGTCAGAGATGAGTCTGCACTCAGACGTTCCCTTCCCAAATCACACTGCACAGCTGTTTCTCTCCTGGTGCTGCCTTCATGCAGTGAAGTCACCTCTCCAAAGCTTCAGGCCTTCACGCTCAAGCTTCCTCAAGCTGCCAGCTTGGCATTCCGTCCATCTTGGGTTCTACTGGTGAAACAGCAACAGTGGCAACTACAGGAGACGTGACAGGATTTAAAGTTTAGAAAATAATGACAAAGAAAACCACAACACAACAGTCAGGTAACGGTGACCTAATCTCCTAAACTGTCTTTCTGCCAACCACAACTTCAGGGTTTCAGAGACCTTGGTGCATTATCAGCTTGCTCTAAAAATGCCTTATCTGCAAACCAGAAATGAGCATATCGCAGCTTTCAGACAAGCACCATCCAAAACAAAAGGGAAGAATGCCACAAACTTGCATCCCCCCCCCCCCCCCCACCCGAGTAAAAAGCCAGAAACTTTATTATTCATACCAAACTCTTATACACAAAAGCTCCTATGTCTTTTAAAATATCTTAGCTCTTAGTCCATCACAACAACAACGCGTCACACAAATGGGCCCACGCTCAGACCCCTACAATACAGACTTAATCTTCAGTGCATTGTGCTAGAAAAGCGTTCATTTCACTGTCACTTTGAATCAGGTCACGAGAAGAGTGGTAACACGACAGCCAGAATGCTGAGAATCAGCTGTGGAGAGGAAGTTTTGGAAACAACACGCCATAAGAATGACATGCTGTGAAAACGCAGAAAGCTGCTTGCTTGAGACTGCGCTGCTGCACTGAGGCAGAAGAGGCCACACTGAGCAAAGCCTCTGGAATTCCCTGAGGACGGCACTGCAGCGGTGAGAAGGAACTTGGGAATGTTGTACACTCAGAGCTAAGCAGCACTCGAGGGATTCTGCAGCAGACAACAGTTCAGGCACAGGGCCTTGGAAGAAGATCTGAAGTGGAGCCTGTATAACAGAGTTAAGAGCCAGAGCCAAAGGGCACCGAAAGGGAAAACACTGCAGGGCAGCGGGAAATGAGATGAGCAGCAATCCAGAGACCACTTCAAATCTCTTCAAAATATACAGAGCTACTCATTTAATTACACACTGGACACAGCCAAGAGCAGTTTGGGTTTGCTCTTCTCTTCCCTGTTTCAGCTCGTTACATTTGCACATCGTGTTACTGTTACAAAACAACAACAAAACCCACCCAAAAAATGCAACTAAGCTGAACAAGGAGTGGATCAGTGAAGGAACAGAGCCATGGCAGCTGTGTGCTGCACCAGCCCACCCTGCACAGCCACGGTGTCAGCACTCAGCCACAACCCACCGTGCTGCTCAGCGGAGGGCTGAAGCCCTCGGTTACGCTGCTCACAAGGGGGTTTCTACTGAAAGCACGGGAAGCAGCAGATGTGCAGGGAGGAAAAGCTCCTCCGTCCTTAACTATGGCTCACGACCAGATACGTGACTGAGAAATTGCACTGTGATCCCCCAGAATCAGTAACAAGCAAAGCACGTGGTCATTCTTACAGGAGGTCCAGAAATGAAAGAGCAGCGTAAAAAGAAAAACAGAGGTGAACAGATTTGCTTCAGTGCTTGCTTAACTCAGGCAAACCTAATGTGGAGAAGAAAACTGAAGTTTGTAACTGAGCTTGGAGGGACTTACTAAACAGCAGGTCAGCCTGGATCCAGCTGAGCTCCTGGATCAGCTGTTTTCTGTTGGCTCAGTCTCCTGTGAAAAGCCAAGAGCAGAAATCCAGCTCCAAGGGCTCAGAAAGAATAAACGACAGAGAGCCCAGGCCACCTGAATTGTTTGTTTTTGTTTTTTTTTTTTTTAACCAGGAAAGATGTGAAGAACAAGTTGTTCCAAAAACTGTCCTCAGTTTTCCTTGTTCCACTACCAAGACGACAAAAAGCATCAGCTTCTCTCATGTGCGCTGAGTTCAGTACCTCAAATGCTGTGGACCACTGCCATCGTTTGACAGAAAACACGTGCTTAACACAGAACATTCCTTCCCTCCAGCCAAGCATGAGCAAAGCCTCTCGCCTCCCTCACAATCCTCCTCCTGAATTGCAGCCCTGAGCTCCCTACCATGCTGCTGCACTCTGCCAGGTGATCATTATTCAGCAGAACTGCCATGGGAACAGAGGAAGACACTTCTCATCACTTCCCAGCTTCCAAGCACACATGTTTTAAGTCAACTGTTTGGCTTTTCTCCAGCTTTACTCCAAGCCTCGGGCACAGACGACCCTGCATCCGTCTGGTCTTACTAACGCTGCTAATGCAATATTTAAAGGCTGCTGCATGAACAGGAAACTGGGATCTATTTGTGCCCACAGGCCCCAGGCACCATTCCTCAGCTTGCTCCAGCAAGCAAATCCTTTGACAACAACAAGACATCTTAGGTTCACTTTTCCACTTACAGGAAATGGGCAGAACTCAGTGCTAATTTTCCAGCAAAATGTGCACTTCATTCCTTTTATAAGCAGCTCTTGCAGAGACAGTTACCCAGCAGAGGAAATAAAGCCAGGCAAGGAAACAAACCTGCAGGAACCAAGTCCTACTTGTCACACTGTCAGTGAGACACTGAATCACCGCATTCCAAGAGCCAACTTCAGAGCAAGCAGGCACCAATCTGTGAACCTCATGAAAACCAAACACCAGCAGCATATTCTATGCACAGCCCTGTCTTGTCTGGATTTGAGAAACAAGGTCCTGAGGTAAGGTTGATTAGAACAGCTTTTCTTCTGAATAACACCACAGGGACATGCTCCTGCTCAAGTACAATGAGCAGAGTTCTCTCCAGAATAGCCCAGGCTCTTCCACTGTCACACCAGGCAGACCAGAACCGTGACAGCTCTGCGCTGAACAACTCCAGCATTTACTTCAGCCACCAGCAGCAATTCCTCCCAATACGTACATTCCATAAGATCAACACTTACAGCATCAGGAAAATCCCATTTCAGTCTTTAGAGAACGCAGCAAGTCTTCAAGTTGCATCCATCCAAACTTCTGATGCTTCACGTCTGTTTCCACGTGAGCCCACGGGGGTACGTGCACAAACCCCACTGTTTGTTAGCAGGACTGGGAACCCTGCTTTGAAAACACACCCAGCGTGTTCTGGCGCTAACAGAAACACCGACAGATCTCAAATGCATTATAATCAATTCCTTCTCCGAAAATACTGGCCTGCTAACTGTTGCCCAGGATTCTAATCAGTCAGAAGCAGTGAATCCCTTGTCTCATTCACCATCTGGGCAGCACTCTCGGTTCGTCAGAAGAACAGGACGTTACACCATCCCACCTCATGGCAGAAGAGTGAATTACAGAGATACTGCAAGACTCAACTACACAAAACGCACATAACATGCAAAGAGACAGCCCGTATTCCAACAAGCTTTAGTCCCCCTGACAATTAACATCCAGACGAGCTCGTGGGTTTCAAATGTCACTGTTCGGCCAAAGAATCAGCCAGTGAGATATTCCAGCCTGCGCTTCTGATCCACCTGGTGAGGCAGCACAACAGCTTTAAGTGCCAAGGATCTGTCAGGGGCTTTAGTCTAGAAATACCGATAATCCCACCACGCAATCCCATCCTCACCGTTCTGCCAACCTGTAGAAAAAAATGGTCATGGGTAAAAGCCAAAGGGACGTGAAAAAGCCTTCTGATTTTGCTCAACAGCCACACACCATCTGCATGAGCACTGCAGAAAAATCAGCTGCCAGTCAGCTTCTGCTTCTGTATCACATCCTGACCAGAAGGGGGAAAACGCAATTCCCAGTGTTAAGAACAGCACTGACACAACAGGGGCATGGACTGGTATGCAGGCCAACAGGACAGGGACGGGTGACAAAGTGAAGGAGAGGTAAAACTCGCAGCAAAGTGCCAGCTCCTGCGGGAGGGGGAGTTCTGAAGGAAAGAGGGTAATTTGACTGGTGGGAAAACAGCACAGTGCGGAGCTCAGGGCTTAAAGAACTTAGGACTAATTAAGCAGGCAAAAAGCCATCGCTGAATGGAGACCCATCAAACACAGCTGACGTCCAAGCATTTTTGCTGGCACAGCAGCACAAAAACTTGCATTTTCCTCTGAAAACCAGCCAAAGCCAAGCTTGTCCTGCCATCGAGCCAGGCACAGCACTTCTCCCATACACAACTGCAGTGAGGAGTTGGCCGGGCAGGGCTGCTTCTGCCACCAGCTCTTCCATGCACCTTTCCTGAGACACAAGCCTGTGAATGCTGACACACATGAGTAATTCTGCTCAGCTGGGTAATCCTGGGGCTTGCTCTGGCAGCCAAAGTACACGATTTGAACCAAAGGCAAAAACCTCTCATTCCATCCTTGCCAGACCTCTGGACGTAACCTGAGACTCTTGCACCTGAGAAGGGAAGACGTAATAAACGTTTTTGTCTCGCTCTCCCCATCTCAGAACTGGAAACACTGCTGAACAGCCACGCATTACAAGTTCTCAGGACAGTAAAAAGCAGCACTCAAGTTGCCACATCCTGCCCAAGACGAGTGTGCTTTTATTGGGGTAGATGAGAAAACAGAACGTGAAATAAGACCTGGACAACAAATACAGCAGATATAAGATACGAAGGTATCATCAAGGAATGTCTCACTTTTCAGTCAGCAGCTGAGCTGCCTAAACGGAGGACATGGTTGAATGGACATGGTGGTGATGGCTGCACTAGATGACTTCAGAGGGCTTCTCAGCCTTCATAGTTCTACGATTCTAAA